AAATCGATGATAGAAGCATCACAATAATCGAAAAAGTCCTCCACGCCCTCTAGGAGGGTCAAGATTGGGGCCTCCCATAATTTCTGTCTCAATGTCTCGAACGCAGCTTGCTGTTCAATCCCCCAACGAAAATCCACGCCCTTCCTCGTCAGATGAGTGATGGGTACATCAAACTTGGTGAAATCCTAAATAAATCTCTGGTAATACCCGGCTAAACCCAGAAAACTCCTGATCTCCGAAGGAGACTTCAGAACCTCCCACTGCATGACAACCTCAATCTTGGGCCAGATCGACCAGAATCACGTTCTGCTAAACGAGGTGTTCCAAGAACTGGACCTCTCGTAACCAAAACTCATACTTCGAGAACTTGGCATAAAGCCTCTCCCTCCTCAAAATTCCTAGCAGCTCTCGAAGGTGCTCTTCATGCTGCTCCCTGGTCTTAGAAAAGACCATGATATCATTGATAAAAACAATAATCGAACGATCAAGCATCAGCCTGCATACCCGATTCATCACATCCATAAATGCTTCCGGCACATTGGTGAGCCCAAACGACATCACCACGAACTCGTAATGACCATAACGAGTTCGGAACGCTGTCTTCTCCACGTCGTCCTCCCTAACTCTCATCTGATGATATCTCGAGCTCAAATCGATCTTGGAGAACCAATATACACCCTACAACTGATCGAAGAGATCATCAATCCATGGAAGTGGGTAACGATTCTTCACCGTCAACTTGTTCAACTCCCGATAATCAATACACATGTAATGAGACCCATCCTTCTTCTTCACGAACAAGATAGGTGCTCCCCAAGGCGAACTGCTCGGTCTGATAAACTGCTTGCCCAACAGTTCTTGAAGTGAGAGGATAACTTCTACATCTCTGGTGGTGCTAATCGTACACCTCCTTAGCGATTTGCATTGCACCTGGGGTCAGATCGATCTTGAACTCCATTTGCCTCGTGGGAGGCACGTCGGGTAATTCCTCTGAGAACACATATTGAAATTCTCTAACTATAGGCACATTTGAAACTGAAACCCCCTTCTTTACCCGAGTATCAACCACATACGCTAGATAACCTAAACACCCATGATGAAGATACTGTCGAGCCCTGGCAGCAGAACAAAAGGCTGATCCAACCATGGTACCCTCTCCATAAATAATCAATTCTACCCCACTCGGGGTTTGAACTACCAGCCGCTGACCCTCATAGTCAATCATCGCACCAATCCTGCTCAAACTAGTCCATCCCTACTATCACTCACACATCCCCCACAGGGATTAGGATCAAATCGATCGGGTAAGACACCCCAAAAAATCTCCATGGTACAACCACGATAATAATACACATCAGTTCAGGGATAGCTAGGACATAACAATGCTGATGCCGACGGGGAGCATCACAATCGAAATATATTAATCGAGGGGGAGCTACATGGATCGCAACCTCATGCTTCTACTGATCAAACTGATAATTTTCATGATTTTTCTGATAATGTGTCGAATGTAGTTAAGTCCTTCATTGGATAAGCCTACTATGGATCCACCTTGTACCGAAGCATGATAGGTTCTCTATTATACTTAACTGCTAGTAGACCTGATATCATGTTTCCTGTTTGAAATTGTGCCAGGTATCAATCAAATCCCAGAGAACCCCATCTAACAGAGGCGAAGAACATCTTTCGATATCTCAAAGGAACTGTGTCGTTGGGTTTGTGATACCCTTCGAAGACTGGATTTTTTATACAAGTGTTTTCTGATGCAAACCTTGGTGGGTGTCAACTAGACAGAAAAAGCACAACTGGTGGATGTCAACTTTTGGACGGGAAGCTTGTAAGTTGGCAATCAAAGAAACAAACATGTGTTTAGATTTCCACAGCAGAAGCAGAGTATGTTGCTGCTGCAGCTTGCACTTCTCAAGTCATATGAATTTAAAGCCAACTTCATGACAACGCAATCAATATGAAGAAGATACCTTTGTATTGTGATTCACAAAGTTCCATACGCATCTACCATAATCTAGTTCAACATTCAAAGACAAAGCACATATCACTTCGATACCATTTCATCAAAGATCATGTCGAAGATGGTAAAATTGAGGTTCATTTTGTCAAAACAACGGATCAACTTGCAGACATCTTCATAAAACCTTTGGTTGAGAAATCATTTCTAAGTATATTAAATGGTTTAGGAATGATTGATGCAAGCTCAGTTCCTGGTTCGTTATCATAGTAAATCAGCAGATGTCGAAGTACTGCTGAAGTGTTCATAAGTTATTGTTCACCATTCACCATTCGACCACCTTCGATTTCGAAATGCCTCTGAATGGTTCAGATCAACCTTCGTTGTCTGAGAAGAAATGTTGTTCGATGCACAAAGTCTGGAAGTGGATACTTCTTAGATCGAATGTTTGGTAACATTTTTTTTTTCAGTTTTATAAAACAAAAATTCCAAAAAGATTTTCTTATTTTTGTCTTTATATTTCAAACTGAAAAATCCAAAAAAAGATTTTCTTTATTTTATTTTGTATGTTTAACCATTTTTTGTGTCTCAATGTTTCAACCTACTGAGGTGGCGAATGCTCATTTGATCATATTCATTTGAGGGACATGTAAGACTTCGAACTATAGCATTTGTTAGGTGTCCCTAGAAGCATGTTGTTTTATGTTGACCATAAGCCTAACAGACTCAATGTGTTTTCGAAGCCTTAATGGATCTCTCACTACGAGTGTTCCTTCCCAATTAGGCTATATTCACGTTAGTCAAAGAGCTACCTCCCTTTTCTCATTTTGAGTTAAGAGATTACTGCAAGGTCCATATTATTCGTAGAGGTACAACATGATTTTTCTACACCAATCTTTTTCATCAAAAAAAAAATTCATGATCACACACATCACTTCATATCCTCGACATCTCTGGTAGAAACCAAAGAGAATGTAGATATTACACAAGTCTGTGTTTTCAAATCCTGATTCATTTTTCCGTGATGATGGTGAGACCCAACAATCTCAACTTTTATGGAATTAACGGTGAAATTTATGTTCAAGATTTTAACGAAACATTTGTTTCTGTGCCACATTTTGATATTCAAAATCGTATTCCTTTCGTTATGCGTGGTCTTGACAAAATGTTCTTTCACCAAGACATTTTTGCCCAACAAGATCCAGTTCTTATTATTTTTGGAATATGATTTCAGTCTGAATATCTTTTCGAACTCTCATCACTTTGAAACTTTACTCAACCTCAATTTTTCCTCACTACACTGGTCATATAAGTAATTTTTTTCATTTAACTCACACTTATGTTAAGTTGTGGTTTTCAATAAAATTGAGCCTTTCGAAGTCTGTACAAAAAGAAGCCCTTCGATACTCATTAAGGAGTATTCGATTGTACTTCACGGGAAACCACACAACCAGTTCGTCATGTCTCTTGATGTTGAATGAAGTGATCTTTGTCCGAGATCCAACTGCTTTTACATCGAATATTATTTGATGTCACTATACGCACATTTTTTTAAAAAAAAATTTGATTCCTGATATTTCTTTGGCACACATATGCATTGAAATCCTCGAGGTTTTGGGTAATACCAACTCAAACCTAGATTTCGCAAAGTCTGACATATGATTTCATTATTCATCCCAAAAGCAAATGAGCCTTACCTCACAGCGAAGGTCAAAGTGCTGTGTTGATGATGAAGCTTTATGGGTTTACCACCACCACGTCAGGTGGATTTTCAATGTGACCTTATTCCGGGTGTGGCTCTAATAGCCAAAGCACCCTATCGGTTAGCTCCTCCGGAAATTAAAGAGATGTTGCAACGTTCAAGAGTTTCTTGAGCGAGGTTTTATTCGGCTGAGTTCCTCATGTTCAGGAGCGTCATTCCTCTTTGTCAAAAAGAAAGATGGCTCGATGCGGATGTGTATCGACTACCGAAAGTTAAATAAGGTGACTATGAAGAACAAGTACTCACTTCCGATGATTGATGTTCCCTTTGATTAGCTTCAGAAAGCTTTCCACTTTTCAAAGATTGGTTTGTGTTCTTAGTATCATTGGGTATGTGAGCGGAATGTTCCCAAGACTGCATTTCGAACCGCATCAAGCATTTGCTTTTACTGCTCTATTAGAATCGCATATGTTAGAGAGAAGGGTCACTTCAAAGTGTGCATCCGTGTACTAATCCACTACCAATCAACCAAAAAAAGTTTAAGAACCTTTATGCAAACAATTATTTTTGTAACTGAAAATTTTAAGACAAAATTTCAGTTACAAAATTGTATTCAATGAAATCATTCATTTTTTTTTTGTCAATTATGTATTAATGTTTAATACTTCTGTTATGTTTTGTTGTATATATATAACACATTTATGACAGATTGAAATACACCAGATGCAACTATGTTCTCCAATTTTGCCTCTTCATTTTCTTGCTATGTCAACGTAATCTTAAAGATTCAAACAGTCTATAAAAACCGCTTTCTAAGTGTAGTATCTTAGGAGACAAACATACATAAATGTGTGAATTTGTTTCAAGGATAACATGCTAAACATGGTATCATCCCTTTCTTACATTTTGTTTTTAACGGGAAGCCAATCGACATCAACACCACCACCCCCATGGGGTAGGAGGAGGAAGGGAGCACAATGTGGGCAATTAGCTTAGTCAGCACCTTGCCTATGGCATGGTGGGTATAACGCCCAACCTAATTTATGACTTTTAGATCATTTTTCTAAAACACGCCATTGTTTAACTAGATAAATTTTAGTGTAAAAAAAAAGGCAAAAACCAGTACTACCCTTCTAATCATATGTAAAGGGTAGACTCTTACAACACCCCGAATAGAAAAACGATGGGAATTTTATAGAAACATAATAAAAATAAATGTAAAAGTAAAAGTAAATAATTAACTGAAATATGTAGAATAATAATACTACCCCTCTATTGACTCTAGTTACATAGATAACAGAAACTGCAAAATATCTAGCAAACTAGGATTCTGTTCCTTTGATTCCTATGCTATTCTCAGTAGAACAAAAACATCAAAGAGGGTAGTGAGATGATGTCCCAAAAGATGATTTTCATGTCCACTTTAGTCATTTAACTGTTTTTTCTTCTTCAAGGCTTCCTTGAACTTGAAGTAGCTTTGGTATTAAGGCTGAGGTCAGCGTAGGAGTCAGGGGCATTATTGACATTTTGGTTACCCATGGTGAGCCTTTGCTTCAACTGAGACAATAATGCTTGATTCTCTTGGTTAAGAAGTTGCGCTTTCTTCCTCAGTTTCTCATTCTCTTGCATTATCAAACAGTTCTCCATGTAGAGCTTTGAATTCAACCTTTCCATTTCTGCTTACAGAAAAAAAAAGAATCAGCTTTGACTTTTGAGTAAGTCAAAATCAAAAGGTTTTGTAGTTGGAAAGTTGTCAACTCTGATCTACCCATTATAAATCAAATCCTTTACTACATAAAAAAACTGTTTCGAATTTTAAAAAACAAAAGTTGACATTTGCCTAAAGTTGGCAACAATCTACTTCTGAATATTTATCAAAAGTGAAAGAAAGAATCGACTACAACTCATTCGTGATTTCGATAATCAAATGTGAACAAACAAACAACTGTGTGTTTTTTGTCGGAATCCATTGAAAGAAATATGCATTTCCTTCTAAATGAACGACAGAAATACACACAGAAACACACACTAAAAGTTGAAAACAAGGCAAAATCTACACTAAAACAAATGTTTCCATGTAAGAAAACCTCGTCCACCCTCAGCTCATGAAAACAGAGTTGAGAGAGAGAGAGAGAGAGAGAGAGAGAGGACCCACTTGAGTATATATTTTATCAAGAAAGATTTACCTTTGAAGAGCAACAATGAAAAAAGAAAAACTTCGATTTTTGGTTGTGAGTTGTAGTTCTCTTTTCACAGCAGAAAATGGGATCTTGTGAGACGCAAAAGGAAGGGTAGGAGCAGTCAAATATATAGAGGAAAAACGTAGGGGTGGGTGGGGTGGGGTTAGGGGGGTGGGGGGACATGCACTTCAAACTTGCCCACAAAACTAATCATCATGCAGATTCTGAAGCAACAAGGGAAGAGAAGAAGGCGGCTTGTGTAGGCCAAAGGTTTTAATGTCCTTCGTCTTCTACTAATGATGAGTGGTAAGGGTAGGGGTAATTTAGGTATTTCGGTAAGGGTGGTAAAGGGTCAGGGGTAATTTGGGTATTTATATGAGGGGGGTGGTTCAAGCTCAAAATGGTCGTCGGAAGATTCGCAATGATGGTTTTGGATTGGTTCGAACCGACGAACCCTTGCCCATCATCACCACCGCGCACACACTTCTTCACCATCGATTCTCTTTTGTTTTCTTTCATTTGGTAAGTTGTTCATTTTGTTTTATTTTTAATTTTATTAAAAAAATTGTTTGTTACAAGTTATAGGCTTTATTTCTTTTCAAATTGATCATTTTGCTTTATTATATTCATAGAATAACTATAATCATTATATATATATTAAATCCAAAGAAGCTTAGGAATAGTATTCTTTTAGCCTCCACATAAGTTTGCTGAACTTGACACTTTTAGTCCCTAAAATCAAAAATTTTACATTTTTTGCCTTTTGATTAAGTTTTTGTGCCTTAAGGTTTTTGCCACAAATCTTTAATGACTTTGACACTTTTAGTCCTTATATTCAAAGGTATTACATTTTGGTGTTTGTGCCACAATTCTTTAATGAATTTGACATTTTTTGTCTTTGTAGTCAAAAGTTTTACATTTTAACATAAAAAACACAAAAAAACCTCCTTTAAAATTTTGCCAACATATTTTCTTAACGTTAACAACTTTAATATTATTGCCACAACATTTTGGATTTTCTCCACCAGTGTCCTTTTTTTTCGTTGTACACTTTTGACATCTAATTTTAGGAGTTGTCGACTTTCTTCCCTATTTATGGTTATTTACAATTTCAGCACATATCTTTTAAAGTTCGACGATTTTTTCCATATTACCCCAAAAGCGGCATAGCCGCGGGTTCTTTATTAGTTTTATTAAAATTAATGATCGGTTTAAATATGTATTTTAAACTTTATCAAATTACTAATTTGCCTTTATATGGTTTTTTCAAACTTCTCTTAAATAAACTTGGCTTATAAAATGAACAATAACTAGTAAATAAATACATGTATTAATCACTTACATTGTAATAATTAAAACGAAAAATAATCATCAATCAATGTGTTTTTGTATGAACTTCAAAGTTAGACACAACGTAAAATGTTTCACTGTTCAAATGCACGTTTTAATACGGCATTTAGATCGTTACTTTTGCATAAATATATCATGATATGTGAAACGACAACAAAGGTTACCATTAATTGTGTAAGAATAATTCTCGAGTTTCTTTTTTTCAAATCTTTCGTTGCATACATACATACATAAACACACGGATATTGTGTGATGATGCATATAATAAGAAAACTTTTATAAGGCAAGAAATACGCAAAAGATTTAAAAAAAAAAAAGATCAATAATATCAATCACCTATTCATTTTTTGTATTATGTATTTATGTGATTTACATGGCGGTTGAATATAGTTTTTAATATGATGTTATGAGCGAATAGAACGAGCAATTAAAAAGGATGACACATTAGTAGGCCATAACGGTTTCTAAAAGACCATAAACATGAATTATAGTTTCTCAGATTTTACTTTATTAAGAGTAATAAGGATTGCTTAGTAGGCTAAGTAATTTCATACATATAGTGATTGAAAGCATAAAAAGTTTCAATTTTGATGGGATGAAAAGGGGAAAAGGGAAATGGGATGATGAGTTTATGGGTTATGAGTGCATTACATGAAACATGATGGCATGACACATGGGCTTTTGTTTGTGTACTTCATATTTGTGTTGGTAAAAAATGTTTGATTTTCTATAGACCGTAATTATAAATTAGGGCTTTTATTTATTGATATTTTGGTTCTTTTAAAGTAGTACTTTTTTTTATTAACTTTTAAGTAAAAGATATTTAAGTGAAATCTTTTATATATATATATATATATATATATATATATATATATATATATATATATATATATATATATATATATATATATAGTTTAATTGCACTAAAGAGCATCCAAACAATATAAATTGTACATCAAAAGTTGTACATTGATTAGCAGGACCTTTTCAGAGAGTGGACGATAGGGGCGACCGTTCAGAGTCCATCTTTTAAAGAGGCCCAGATTTTTTATCGAAATTGTTATATTTAGAAGATAATACAAATAATTTTCTTTTAATTATTGAGTTATTATAAAATTTTGATGAAATTTATGTATTTTAAGGGCCTTTTTTTTCTCTCGCCCTGGACCCAAAATATGTTTGAAACTGCCCTGTTGATTGGGATATTAGAACACTCAAAATCACAATTTTTGGATGTGAAGTATTTGGTCGCAAGTTTCAAGATGCCAGAAACTCGTTTTGAGCCTTAGGAAAAATTGTGGCACTACTCGCTATTCGAATATAGAGACACTTGGATTATGTCATGTGGTGTGTTGGGGGGCTTAGTCGCGGGGTGGCCACATCCACGATAGTTTCGTCGGGCTAACTATGACCATATCTTAAAAGTGTATCTATTACATTATTAATTCTTGTTTTATGAGGCACAACTTCGAGTTTGAGAGCAACGATGGCAATTTTAAGCATTGGAGCTTTAGATCTTTCCAATTCCTTTAAATTCCTGTTATTACAGAAGTATACAATCAACAAAACTAATTTAAATAAAACAAACGAAATTCAAATATATGGAATATACAAGAATCAATTTACAGAAAAACATACTTGTGTGATGATTACACAGAGAATATGATCACGAAATTGTGCAGATTGAGGCCTGCTTTGTAGTGTCCTAAGACAGAAATTTCCCTGGAATGGGTCTGTCTTGAGGATACAACAATCCAATTCAAGAACAGATCTTGAATCTGTCGAAATTCACCATGATCCATTTGGAAAAATGAACGATTTTTGAGAGAAAGTGTGTGTCTATCATTAACCTTCAAATTCTGTCTGAATTTCTTCATTTATAGGCTTCCAATGGTGGTTGTAAACCACCAACCGAAATTAACTGCCAACAACTGTTTGCAGTTAATCCTTTATTTAACAAATTTTTTTTTGCATTGAATAAATAAAAAATTAATTAATGAGTAATTAATTTCGGATTATATATAAAAAAAATATTATTTAGTCAAGAAGAGCCCAAGAGCCCCAACGCTCAAGGCCCTATCTTTGACCATTAATATTTAATAATCCAAGCCCACTACTAGCCTAATTTGACTAGTCCAACACCACAACCCAAACCCAATATGCTTAACCCATTACTTGATACATTTGAATAAATGAGTCGGACAAGACTTATAAGGTGGGAAAAGGTTTTCTCTTCCACCAATGTGGGATAAGTCCCACATTGTAATTTTGTAGAGAAAAGTTCCAACAATACCCCACATTTTCTATTCAAACTCCAAGAATACCCCACATTTGAATAGAAAATAAGTGAACTTTGATATTCAAATAAGGGAAGTAAGATATGACATGCATCTGAATAGGTGTTGTAAAACTTGAACCTTTCATAGTGAATACTACTTGGATGTACTTTGTGGGTAGTGAACTAGAGTCTTGAACTAACTACTTTGTATAGTAGAATCAAGATAAGAGGTATCACACATATCATATTTAAACATGGTTCATTTCTTACCGTTGTGTTCTTTTCGGTCGTGAACAATCATTTCTTCATGAGACTTTTAGAGAGCTTAGTCATATCAGCTCCCAAAGATGCGACCTCACATCCATCTCACATAGGTAATGCTAATGTGGAACAATCTGTATTATTCCACTATAAAAGCTATCAGCATTATTAAGAATAAAGAATTCATCCCTATATCATCAACAGAAAACACAAAATAAATATCATAGGAGTGAGCATACCTTTGTGTTAGTGCTTCTTTGAGTCTTCCCCAACTAGTTGTCCTATTAAACCTAGACCATGGGATCTCCAATTTTGCTAGGTTAGGTTTCCGCCAGGTGGTGACTCATTGTGTTGGCTTTAAGCCCATTCCCCTCGATGTGAAGAGAACTTGCTTTCTACTAAGGCCTTTTGTCAAGGGATCAGCTATACTTTCCTTTGACTTTATGTAACTAATGGAAATGATTCCATTCTTCAGCAAGTCTCTTATTGTAATATGTTTGCGCCTAATGTGTCTCGACTTGCCATTGTATATATGACTTTGTGCTCTAGTAAGAGCAGCCATACTATCACAATGTATGGCAATGGCAGTAACAGGTTGATGCCACATAGGAATACCTTCTAGGAAGCTTTTAAGCCATTCAGATTCTTCAGCAGATTTGTCTAAAGCAACAAACTCTACTTCCATTGTAGAACGAGTATTCACAGTTTGCTTAGATGATTTCCAAGAGATAGCAGCTCCACCAAGAGTGAACACATATCCACTTGTGGATTTTGCCTCAGAAGTATTGGAAATCCAATTTGCATCACAATACCCTTCAAGAACAGGAGGATATCTCGTGTAATGCAATCCATAATTCATTGTATTCTTTAAATATCTAAGCACTCTTACTAATGCATACCAATGATCTTTCCCAGGATTGTGGGAGTAGCGGCTCAATCTACTTACACTATATGCCAACTCCGGTCTTGTACAATTCATAATATACATTAAGCTACCAAGAACTTGATTATATTGTAACTGAGATACACTATCACCTTTATTTTTCTTTAGATGACTAGAAGCATCAAATGGGGTGACAACCGGCTTGTCATCATAGTGTCCAAACTTCTTGAGTACACTTTCAATATAATGGGACTGAGTAAGAGTATAACCATCTGGTCTTCTTTGAACTCTTACACCAAGGATCACATCTACTACTCCCAAGTCCTTCATGGAAAAGGAGGAGTGTAGCATTTTCTTGGTTTGATTGATCACATCTAAATTAGTACCCATTATAAGCATATCATCCACATACAAGCATATGATGACACAAGCATTCTTGTATTGTTTGACATAAACACATTTATCACATTCATTTATTCTAAATCCATTAGAGAGTAATGTGTTGTCAAACTTATCATGCCATTGCTTTGGAGCCTGGTTTAGTCCATAAAGTGATCTAACTAACTTACAGACTTTGGTTTCCTGACCTTTAACCACAAACCCTTCAGGTTGATTCATATAAATCTCTTCATCTAGTTCACCATGCAAGAAGGCAGTTTTCACATCCATTTGGTGTATTTCCAAATTGTGAATGGATGTAATTGCTACTAATGTGCGAATTGATGTAATTCTTGTAACCGGTGAATAGGTGTCAAAGAAGTCTTGACTTTCCTTTTGACGATACCCTTTAGCTACTAAACGAGCTTTGTATTTCTCAATGGTACCATCAGGTCTAAACTTCTTCTTGAATATCCATTTGTGGCCAATTGGTTTTTACCCTGGTGGCAAATCTACCAATTTCCAAGTGTTATTCTGCACAATGGAGTCAATCTCACTTTTGATTGCCTCTTTCCAAAAGGGAGCTTTAGAAGAATCCATAGCATCCTTATAAGTTTGTGGTTCTTTATTCACTACATAGGTCATATAATTAGGTCCAAAATCTTTGGCAATTTTGCCTCGTTTGCTTCTTCTGGGTTCTAAGTTCTCTTCTTGAACCTTAGAAGAACTCTCTTCATTTGATTGTAAACTTTTGTCTGGCATGGTATCATTTAGTCCATCATCTGGAGGTCTTTTCCTAGAGTAAGTAACCTCTTTCCCTTTATCCTTAAAAGGAAAAATATTTTCAAAGAATTCAGCCTCTGCTGATTCCATGATGGTTTGGTTATAGATATCATCAACATGTGATTTATACACAATAAATCTATAGGCTGCACTATTCATGGAAGGGCCAAGATAGATGCAATCTATAGTCTTTGGTCCAAGTTTAGTCCTCTTAAGAAGAGGTACTTGTACCTTAGCAAGGCAACCCTACACTTTCATCCTTTTATAAGAGGGTAATCTCCCTTTCCACATATGATAGGGTGATTTATCATTCTTTTTATGAGGAATTCTATTAAGTATTGAATTTGCTGCAAGACATGCTTCTCCCCACAGATTATGTGGTGCTCCAGAAGTAATTAACATTGAATTAATCATGTTTTTCAATGTTCTATTCTTTCTTTCTGCCACTCCATTTTGTTGAGGAGTATATGGAGTAGTTGTTTGATGTATAATACCATTTAAAGAACAAAATTCAGCAAAGTCTTTGGATTCATATTCTCCTCCTCGATCAGACCTTAGAATTTTGATCTTTTTGTCAAGTTGATTTTCAACTTCAGCCTTGTAATTCTTAAAAGAATTCAAGGCTTCATCCTTGGTATTTAACAAATAAATATAACAATACTTGTTGCAATCATCAATAAAAGATATATAATAATTCTTTCCTTTTCTTGTAGGTGTTGCTCTAAAATCACATAAATCAGAGTGGATTAAGCCAAATATTTCATTAGATTTTTCAACTGATTTATGAGGATGTTGTGAAAATTTTGATTCTACACAAATCTCACATTTTATGTTTTTATCTAATGAACATTTTGGTAACATGCCAAGTTTTGCCATTCTTTGAATAGAACGAAAATTGACATGTCCCAAACGAGAATGCCACAAAAATGAAGGATCATGCATATACATAGAAGAGGGGCTAGTAGTGCCCATTATTGCATTAGCATTAACATTGGTTACATCATTGTTTGTTGTTTCAACACCATAGTACAAAGGTAAGACACTAACTTTGAAGAGACCCTGACTAAGGTATCCCTTTCCAACATACACCCCACCCTTGGTGAGAACAAACTTATCAGACTCAAATACAAGTTTAAAACCTTTGTTACTAAGAATAGGACCATAAATCAAATTCTTAGTAATTTTAAGAACATGCAGAACATCACTTAAAATAAGTTCTTTTTCAGAAGTCAGTTGCAGCTTCACTTTTCCCTTTCCTTCAACTTTTGTAGTAGAGCCATTCCCCATGAACATTGGTTCAGAATCCGAGACTTTCTGGTAAGTAGAAAACATGGTTCGGGAGTTGCAAATGTGCTTTGTGGCTCCAGTATCAATCCACCAATCCACACAATTGTTAACCATGTTGGTTTGAATCATAGCAACAAACTGATTTGGTGATTCAACCATGTTGGCTTGACCAGAATTTCCTCCACCAGAATTACCACCATTGTTTCCATTGTTCCCTCCATTGTTTCCTCCATTATTTCCTCCTTGACTCCTCCTAAATCTGCAATCTTTGGCCTTGTGTCCAGTTTTGCCACAAACATAGCATGGACCAGAATTCTTCTTGAAATTCTTCTTGTTTGGGCCATGATTTTTGCCATCTTTGGAGGAGTTTTTGGAGCCTTGCTTCCCTTTCTTGTTTTTGTGCTTTGTCCTTGAAGTACTTGCTTCTCCAACAAAGTTTGCAATTGGTTCCAAGGAATTTGCATCTGCCTTCTCATTCAATATGTTATCTTCTTCCACACGAATTCTCAACACAAGTTGCTCAAAATTCATGTCATCAGTTAAGTGTTTAAGATATAGTTTGAAATTCTTCCAAGAAGGAGGAAGTTTTTCAATGATTGAACCAACAAGAAAGTTAGAGTTTATACCCATACCTTCAACTTCAAGATCATGTGCAATGACTTGAATTTCCTCCACTTGTTTGAGGACAGATTTGGTATCCACCATCTTGAAATTCATGAACTTTCGAATCACGAATTTCTTGGAACATGCCACTTCTGTTTTGTATTTCTTTTCCAGTGATTCCCATATCTCTCTTGCAGTAGTGATGGTAGAGTAGATATCATAGAGGGAATCATCCAAGGCATTTAGAATATAATTTCTGCAATTATATTCATTTGTGTTCCAAGTTTCCACTGCTCTTTGGTGTTCTGCCAATTGGGCTGCAGTGGGCGGTGTTACTCCTTCTGTAGTAGTTACCCCAGTGGGAGGAGAGGGAGAATCATCAGTGAGAACATTGGAAACATGAAGAGTTGTTAGATAAAACAACATCTTCTGTTGCCATCTCCGAAAATCCGAGCCTTTGAATTTCTCAGGCTTTTCCACATATGTTTTGATGATGGAATTTTGATCCATTCTTCACTCTTTGATTTCTGTCTTAGATTGTTATTATAGAAGTATACAATAAAAAAAACTAATTTAAATAAAAAAAACGAAATTCAAATATATGGAATATACAAGAATCAATTTACAGAAAAACATACTTGTGTGATGATTACACAGAAAATATGATCACGAAATTATGCAGATTGAGGCCTGCTTTGCAGTGTCCTAAGACAGAAATTTCCCTGGAATGGGTCTGTCTTGAGGATACAACAATCCAATTCAAGAACAGATCTTGAATCTGTCGAAATTCACTATGATCCCTTTGGAAAAATGAACGATTTTTGAGAAAAAATGTGTGTGTATCATTAGCCTTCAAATTCTGTCTGAATTCCTTCATTTATAGGCTTCCAATGGTGGTTGTAAACCACCAACCGAAATTAACTGCCAACAACTGTCTGTAGTTAATCCTTTATTTAACAGAATTTGTTTTGCATTGAATAAATAAAAAATTAATTAATGAGTAATTAATTTCGGATTATATATAAAAAAATATTATTTAGTCAGGAAGAGCCCAAAGGCCCAAGGCCCTATCTTTGACCATTAATATTTAATAATCCAAGCCCACTACTAGCCGAATTTGACTAGTCCAACACCACAACCCAAACCCAATATGCTTAACCCATTACTTGATCCTTTTGAATAAATGATTGGGACAAGACTTATAAGGTGGGAAAAGGTTTTCTCTTCCACCAATGTGGGATAAGTCCCACATTGTAATTTTGTAGAGCAAAGTTCCAACAATTCCTTCATCAGTATCCCATCATCTATTCTAGGATAAATCATTATTTGCTTCAAAATCCTCTCAATTGTGTGATTAGGGTTTACATTAATTTGGAAGCTATAAAGTTCATGCATGCATAAAACTATTGTATATTTTCTCCTTGTATTGCTATTTAACAATGTATACATTAATAAAAATCCACGAAATCAAACTTAATTGAAACTAATTTCATATTTTATATTTGGCTTTGAATCATTTGTACATAAATATGTTAATCGTGATGATCTTATATTTCAAAGAGTTAATATGTGCAAAAATTTATATGTAAACTTACAAAAATACAAAAATATGGCAAATTGTGTATGAATTTGTATTACGTAACACGAAAGGGTTGATTTGGGGGTTCATTTGAGAGGCAACTATTTTTATTAGAAATGATAATATGTTTCCGGCCTTAAATTTTGGGAACCAACAATTTAATATTGTTAGGTCTCGTAATTTTGTAATGTGTTTTGTCTTAGTCTTTTGCGAAAGGTTTAATTGTAATACTTTGTCTTAAATGTAATGTTTGTTCCGAATGTATGTTAGTTTCAGAATGGGTTTACTTACGGTTTCGAGTGACAATGCTTAATAGTTTGTATCACATATCACTGCTTAGGTGTCATAACCTTATTGGTAATTGTCTACTCGACTCCCTTATAGTTCTCCTATAAATAGGGATGTTAATTAGGTAAGGGAGTAAGCATTTTGCATGTTCTTACATGATTCTATGTAATCGAGCGTCTTACTCTAATTGAATTAAACATAAAATTATGTACCTTCTCGATCTTACATCACATTCACTTTTACATGATATTCATGATTTCTTAGTAATCGAACTAATTAATCGATCTTACAGTTGGCAGCAGAGCAGGAATCATTGATTTATATTCAAATCGATTAATTCTCTTTTGTTCATCAAGTTCTTCGTTTATCTTCATTTGATTTTTCTCAGATCTTTTCCGCATTTTCAAAATCTTTGCACTTTGATCTAGAAATATTTTCTCTAAAACTTGTTTTGATTTGAATTCCTTATATGACACATTGATTTGATCACTATTCATGTTTTCTAAAATCATGGCGAAAGACGATCCTCAAAGTGTAGCATTCAATTTAGTTAGCATCATTGGTTCTAATAGCAGAGTTCCTACTCTTTTTCCAGACGATTATGAAGTATGGGTACTTCATATGGAGGATTATGTTACTGGTATCGAAAAAATTGGTTCTCATGTTTGTAGATCGATGATTGTTGCTCCACACTTGTTCTTAAAGATGAAGATGACAGTTACATCCATTGTAGAGTATAAAGCACTTCTTGATAAATATTCAGATATGACCCTTGAAGAGAAGTAGAAAGTTAGATATGTTTTGAAAGCAAAAAAGAGAAATTTGTTTTGGTCTTGCTCCAACTACATTCTGATTGGTGAGTTCCTTTGAAACTTCTTTCGAAATATGGGAACAATTAAAAGAAGTGTATTCTAGTAATAATAAACAACTTGATTCTCTTCAAACTTCTTAACTTTTGGAGTTTGGATCATTTAAGCAAAAGTCTGGTGAAAGTATTGATCAAGTGTTTGAAAGATATAATCAATTGTTAAGCCGATTAGTGAAGTATGATTTGAAGTGTCATGAAACAGAGAAGAATGTGACCTTTCTACTAGGAATTCGCCATGAATGGAAGACAATTGTTTCAAATGTGAAAGCACATGAACAATTCAAGAAGTACAAGATGTCTCAAGTGGTTGGAATTCTAAAAGCTCATGAAAAATAAGTGTATGATGTTACAAAATCAATTGCTAATGTTGGTCCTTTGGCTCTGGTTATAAAAGAAGAAGTTCTAAAGGTGAAGAAATAAGAAAAAGTTACTGCAGATTTCGATTCTGATGTGACTGATGATGAATGGACAAGTGAGGAAAATGATTTAATGGCAAGTAATCTGAAGAAGTTCTTTAAGTAACATTTTTCTAAGTTGAAGGGTTTTATAGGTTATCAAAAACATGTAAAGCAGAAAATATTAACACTTAAGTCCACATGCAACCTATAAAGGATCTATCTTTTCTCTAATTGATAGCAATAAACTATGAACATCAAGAACCCTAAGGGAAACTTATTATAATCAAAATATACATAGGATTAGGTTACATACCTTTCATTTGTTGTAGCATATAAATCACTTAAATCTCTTGTGTTTGTTGGTCTTGGAAAGCTAACACCAAAAGGATGATGCATCTAATGGCCCACAACCAAAACCAAAAACCCTAGAATGAGGAGGAGAGAGGAGATATGAAGGAAATTTCATGCTTATGCCTTTATGTAATGTTGTGAAAGAAAATTTCAAGCCAGGGGGTCTATTTATGGTTTAGTTAACTTGAAGGCAAAGCAATATTTGAATTGATTTACTAACAGATTTAATCATACTTCAAATCATTTCCTTTTATGCAACTATGAGGCTTCCAGAAACCCTAGGAAACCCTCCAAAACCATCCATAACATGGAGAGTTCTAGAATTGCTTCTTTTGTGCAACTATTGAACAAATAAAATTCACCTCGTGCACCCTTAACTAATTTCAAGTAATCCAGAATTAATTTCAGATTAATTTTGATTAATAAGTAATCAAATTCTAATTGATTTCACATTTATTTATTTATTTGTTATTTTTTTTGTCCAAAATGGGTCATTTCTTCCACAATGAAAACAAAGTAACGTATCTGAGAATACATCTTAGTTATCATCGTACAACAAATGAGAAGGAAAACGGGCAACAAGTTGCGTCGCTAAGCCTTTTATCAATTGATCTCATATTAATTTATTAATCACATAATAAATCAACAAATCATCTGTCTATTTCCAATTAATATATTAATCACATAATATATTAACAAATCATTTTCCCATAATTTCCAATTAACTTATTAATTATCTAATAAATTATACTTCTTTCTCCTAATATCATTTCTAGTTATTTCTGGTTGTGAGGGCAACCCAAAAAGGACTTTGCTTTTAACTATAAGAGTATACCAATATAGTTGTGGGCTTAGACACCTTAATTCAATAGTCTCCCAGTTTGATAAGTTTATAACTATAATTGCAAGTATAACCTTGAACTAAACAACAAAGAGTGCTTTCAAAAACCACTGCCGAACTCTGATTCAAATCAAACGTTGGCCCTAAGATAAGTGATCAACTATTCCTTCAGTCTACAAGATATCATGTGAATAGAGTCATGGATTAAATGATCAACCTCGTGTTCATTTGTCTATTTCCCGATTTCCCGATTTGTGATCAAATTTCAAACTACAAAACTGAACACATCAATTCAGTCCGGACTAGGTCTTGTTCTTATAGATCAACTCAAATCACTGAGGGGCCCACAAATATCGCTTTTCATGTTAAGGTAAAAGGAACAAACAAACTATGACTACATAATTGTAACATTTACTCATCAAATCGTATATACCACTACGTTTTATAACATCAAGTTACTGATGCGTTTACGCAATACCAATGCACAACTGACTTGTAAATTACAAATTATGTATCTCTTGTAACACCCCAAAATTCAAGGCCAAAAATTTCATTTTTAAATAAGTTATTATAAAACCAACAGTATAAGAAAACAACCATAAT